AAAAAAAAAAAATTAGCCAAAGATAAAAATGAGATCATTTCTATGGTAAAATCTCAAACCTATACATAACACATCTACATGCAGGTCCATAAAACTATAAATAGAGAACATGAAAATTGGGAAAGAAAAGAAACAGCAGGAAGATAAAAGGAAACAAAGTACACAACTTTCACATATAATTCAATCCAGTCACTTCATATCTTTGCCCCTAGTTTTTTCATGGTTTACTCTCAATTTCTGATTGGAAGTATATCAACACAAAATATACATACATTTAATTACTTATAGCCTAAATGCTCATACCATTTAAGTCATACCATTACAATACGAAAACTGGAAACAATTGATTTCACCTAATTTTAGATCCACCATGGCTAAATGTGGCAAAAAGAAGATATCTTTAATTTCAAAACTAAATCGGCTTAAAGTTCGGTAAAATCTTTTCTCGATTACAACGACCACCAAATCAGATATGAAAGCCATTAATTCGTGCAATCAACACGTATCGAAAAGGGCATCGTCAACAAAATTTTATGTACGAGATCTCTGAGATCCAAATGAAACACTTAAAACACAAAATAAATTAACAATCTCTGCATATACTCATAGATCCAGCCATTCAGCGAAACCAAATCATACGAGACAATCAATTCAACCCACAAATCCATGTACTCTAACACGAAACACATACAAAAACCATTCGGGTGCACATATCAATGATTCCACCCAAAATCGAGTACAAGTAACTAATCACCGCCGTGCAAAATCACACCCATATCAGAAAAGCGTCAAACAGGGAAAACAAAAAAGAAAAAACCACAAATCAATGTAAGTAATCGCATGCAAACACCTAACAATACACCAATTAACACACACGGAGCAAGATCTGCAGCTCAAACATTACCGATCAGCACACTCACACACACAATACAAACAAATCCAATTCAAAACCACCCGATTCATAAACAGAACCGCATGCATTAACCAAAAACAGCTTCAAACGGCCAAGATCTGTAAAACAATGCCTGAAAATTACCAAAAAAAACCAAAAAATCTCGACTCAGAGGAGATTGAGAGGCGACTGAAGAAGCAAATCAACCCGATCTCTGTTTCAATTAAGACGAATTCATCAATCAATCACCACAACAGAAATCGATACCAATACAACAAAAATCAAACCGAAAATTATACGACTGTTAATTTGTTTGTAAGAGAACCTCAGCGCGGATCAGAATTTGCATATATATGAAACTGTGGTTGATGAAAAAAATTGAGATTATATAGTTGGGGAGGAGACCGAGATATGAGAGGAAACGGAAAAGAACCTTAATTATCCATATAAATTACTGAGAATTGCCATAGGTTGCACGTTGAAGGATTTTATTCTGTTACAAAATCTACCCAAAAATAAACATTGTATTTCTAAATTTAGTTATTATTCAGTAACTTTGTCACTGTGGTAGGTGACGCGGTAAGTTTAGTTATTATTCCCTTCTTTTTTTATGAAAAATGTTACGTTCCGTTAAGGAACTATTCTGTCTGGAGTTTTAACCGTTGGATCATCTATCCTATACTAACTACATGATGATCCAACAGTTAAAATTCTCGACTGAATGGTTCTATAACGAGACTGTAGTATTTTCCCTTTTTTATAGTGTAAACACAATTTTGGTCGGATATTTTAACTTTGTCAATCGAGTATATATATCTATATTCTAATAAAAAAAATATACATTATTTAATTTTCTTAACTTAGAACGTGCTGACTGTTGAGCTTAAGTGGTAGGCTCGCAAAATTCGGATCCTATGTGACAAAATTACATGCTTCGTCGTAGTTAGGGTAGATTTCAATTTACTTCTCATCCAAAAAATAATTACGTTCGGATTATCCATAAATATGTTGATTTATTTATTTGAATTCCAAATGTATTTTAAAAGTTAATAACTTTTGTATTTTTTTTTATTATTTTTACACATATAATATATCAACTTAATTATCTTTTGATGAACTTCGATTTAACATTCATATTGTATGTATAATAAAAATACATTATATTTATCTTATAACGATAATAAAATTATTTTTTAATATTAATATAAAAAATAAAATTATTTATCAATTAAATATTTATATTTCAAGTAGTTACATGATATAAGTTATAAAAATTACTATAGTATAACACACGTAAGTCGTACAAATAACAAATGTCATTCTAAAATATAAAATAATATGTAATTTTTGTTAAAAAATAAATAAAATTTAAAATATTTTTTCTCAATAATTTTAAAATTTAAAAAAATTATTTTAACAAGCACCCGTGTAATACACTAGCGCGGTAATGAAATGTTTTTTTTTTTTCCTTTCATTGTACAATATTAATATTAATTTTGATTTTTTTTTTTAGAATTATGGTGTGCATTAATTCAAGTACTAATCATATGAATGTTGATTAATCTATATGATATACCAAACTAATTTAAGATTATTAATTCCAAGTGAAATTGATCAATTTATTAATAGTAAATGTAAAAGGCACATTAAATATATATATTTATATTTATAAGCATATATTTTCCATGGCCATAATATCAAATAATTCGAATTTTCATATTATTTTTAAGCTTGCAAAATATTTTCTAATTTACTTGAAAGTGATGCTTTGTTACGTGACGTCATTCTTTTGGTAAATTACTAAAATTGTTATTGTTATATAATGGGTGTGTGATTTTATTCTATTCGAATCCACCTAAAAATAACATTTATTGATCGTCTAAATTTAGCATTTGTCTC